ACAAAAAAAAAAAAAAAATTGTTTCACTGATTGATCTAGTCATCTCCATTTACAATTCAATGACAATTTTTAAGAATTATTAAAACATGTGTGGCTAATGAAATTAAAACAAAAACCTCCTTCTCAGGCATGTGAATTGGAGGAAATCTCATCATAATCATCATCAGCATCTTCACACGTTGAAATTAGGCGTGGCCGAAGCATTCACAGTCGGAATTTTCCGGCGGCACATGTCCTGAAGGAGGTGGTTGAAGAAGGCGGGGGAGGGTGACGCTGGAATTCCTTCTCTCCGAATATTTGGAATGTGGATTTTGGAGAAAATATTTGGGATGATAAAAAAAATTGATGAAATTAAAACTAAAAAAATTTAAATGATAAATCTTAAAAGAAAAAATATAGGAGAAAATTGAAATTAAAAAGGGGTAGGTAGGTTATGATATAAGAGAGATATATGGAGGAGGATGAAAGGAGTATAATTGTAAACATAAAAGGCAATTGCATCTAAATAATAAGAGGGAGTAGTTAGATAAATTCTCTGAGCAAATAGATAAGGGGTGTCATTATTTATGTATAACACGTAGCAATAAATATTAACTATGTCTAATAATTAATTAAGATGATATGTATAGTTTCAATTGTTTAGTTTAAATTCGTTTATTCGGTTTCAATTGTTTAGTTTGAACTTGTTAGGGGCGTAGGGCTACTTGTTGGTTAGACATGTTAGAGTAGACATGGCCATTTGTCGGGCCGGGTCGAAACCCAGCCCGGCCCGCCGGGTCGGCGGGTTAGCATATATTGAATCGGGCCCGGCCCGCTGGTAAGTAAGGGCCGGTTCACTGAACCGGCCCTAACCCGCCGGGTCAAAAACCCGGCGGGTTGAGCCGGGTTCGGGCCGGGCCCGCCGGGTTTACGGGTTTTTAATTATTTTTTTTTAATGTATATTAATGTTTATTTGAATAAATAGTTTGTATATACTTAAAAAATAAGTGTAAAGAAAAAAAATATTAATGGAATAGACTTGAGCTTAGTTAACAGTTATTAAGTTCGAATATCGTGTACGATGAAAAATTTTGATGCCAAAAAATTATACTCGAACTTAATAATGTTAAATAAGGTTCCTACG